GATATATAATAATGGAAAAATTATAAAAATTGTTTCGTTTCGATAATATAATTTGATTTTACGCTTTTTGTTATAAAGAGAAAATAAAGAAAAAATAAATTATAATAATAATTATTATAATAATGCGAAATAAGATGGAAGATAAAAGGAAATTTTATATAATTGTAACGATTATTGAAGAAATATATTCAAAATTTTCAATGATTTCTACTATTTTTAACTAATTTCGAAATTATATGAAAGATCCTATGAAATTGTTTCTCTTTATCGTATCGATGAATTAAGCTAATAACGATGATGAAAAATAAAAGTATCGTGTTAATAAATTATTATATAATGATACGATATTGATACATTAATGGTTAGATAATTATTCCGTAAGTTCTCAAAGATAATTATCTTTTCGAAGATAATTAATGCATAAAATTATTTGCTATTCCTTTTATCTTCCTACATAAATTGTATATAAAATTAAAAGATATATTTTGTAGATTTTATATTTTACATTTTTCAATTATATATCTAGATATGGCATTTTTCTAATTATTTAACAACGCTATACAACATTTTAGTTACGCTTAACGAGAATTGTTTGAGTGAGAATAAATTCTGTTGATCGAATCTCTTTGAAATTAGAAGCAAAGTGATTATGAACCGCGAAGACGCTGTCTTTTCTTATCTAATTTGTTGATTGATTTTATTTCTTAACTAATAAGAATGTGTTCGCATCGTACACGATCGTCAATTTTTTTTTATACTTAGACCGGATGAAAAATCAATTCCAACGACACGCGTATAAAAAGTATTGATATTAAAAAAAAATAAATAAATAAAATAAAATAAAAAATAAGAAATCATCATTGATTATAACGTTTTATCACGGATTATAACGTTTAATGGTTATTTTCATTTTTAATAGCATCGCTGGAATGCCAATTATGCCAATACTTGTAGATATAGCGCGAAATGCAAAATTTCTTCAAGTCGAACGATCGTGTATAATGTGAATCTCGCATTACATATTTATTTTTCCCATTTATTATTGAACACGTATTTTCTCTCTGAGGCAAAGTAGTTTTTTCTTTTTGTAACTCGTTGATCGAGGAACAATTTTATAAAATAGTTTGTAGCGAATTGTGTTATTAAGAAGTAACACCGTTATTGTGATCATATTTTTTTATGATTAAAGTAGGCCTCTCGTTTATTTTTACGTATTATTACTATTGATAATATATTTCCAAAATAACATAACGATAAATCGAATTCGCTATATACCATCGATATATCGATTTTTTTAATAATTCTGCGATAAGCTATTGAGTTTTATCTTTTTTCTCGATATTTCTTTATGAAAATATAGATGGATGCAAAAATTCTGTATATTATTCTTTTAAAAGAACATTGTCACGAACTTTTTAATAATAGTTAATTATAAAAGATTAAATGTAGTAAAGATTATATGTAGTAATAATAAAATATAAAGAAACGATATAAAAAATAAATAAAAAGAAATTAAAAATATAATGTTATAATTTTATTAAAATATTTGAACGATTTTGCTTTTTAATTAATAGAATATTATTAAAATAACTGATGAAAAATCACTAATAAGATTATTACTACTTCGATACAAAGCGTGATTTTACATTGGTCATTACAGAAATTTCCTGCGATACATATATGTTCATTTAGAAATAACATTGTAAAAATATTTACAATGTTACTCATTGACAAGGAATGGCATAATATAATAAAGTTAGAAAAACTTTCGATCAATCCGATACATATATATATATATATATATATATATATGCGTTGCAAAGATATATTTTTTAAAAGTGACGCTTTTAACTTAAAATACATAATTTATTTTATATAAATTGGAAAAGAATCACATTACAATTTGCAAAGAGTTAAGAATAGAAAATTAAAATTTATTTTTTTTACCATCATTATTTATTTGAAAAATAATATAAAACTTATAAATATTTTATTTTATTTTTTTTTTTTTTTTAGAAACATCATTTTCGAAATATCTGTGCGATATATATATATATAATATGAATGCATATGATCCTATAAATGTACAATTTTTGAAAAAGATTGATAAATCATGACGTTGAGTGTGTGTTCGGCAATTTCATTTATAAACAAATGTAATAATTTTATTAAACAATGACGATTTGATTTCCTCGGTAACGAGATACATATATAAATAAATTGACCTCTGAGAGAAATTAGAGATAGATATACATATATATACGGCGAGGAAGATAATACAGAAATAAAGGTGTTCCGTGTATCAAGAACCACCTAGGAAATTGACATTTCGCAAAAAGATGCACCCTAATGTTGTTCGCATATATTTTTTTTCTCCTATAATTCCACGAGTAAAAATCTATATAATTGTCTTTTGACGGTCAAAGGTGATGTGCTACTATTTTTTCATTTTGTCACTATAGATATGTATAAAAATCATGTTGCGAAATGGAAATATGTTTGATAAGAGTGAAACATTTTTCTTTTCTTATGCGATGAAAAATTTGTATAGAATCGTACTATTTGTTTCGTTCGATTATAAAATTTTCAACGTACATTGTGCAATGTGTTATAATTGAATTCCTCTTAGCGAAATAACGAACAATAAATATATAGATACAATTTTCACAGTGGATATAAAAAAATAATTATTTCCATAGATAAATATCACGTAAATCTAGAATTGGTATTGCGTATAGAATTATTTTATTCATTGCCATGTCTGTATTATGATCTTTTCGTTTTGATTTATAAGATATATTTACATTTTTTAAATAAGATTAATCAAAAAACGGTGATTAATTATAAAAAATTAATTATTTATAAAAAACGAATGATCAAACTATTTAATAAAATTTATTAAAGAGAGATAAAAAAAAAGCGACGTTACTTCTCGGTGTCCCTAATATTATAGATACATAAAAATTGTGTATCAAACACATTTGTTCTATTATATGAAAATTTTTTTATCCGAACACTTGATTCATTCGTAATAACATACTTTTTATTCGTTCTACCGTATTTATAATTCAAAAATATTGGTCCATTATCGAACAATTACCCGTCTGTCGTTTCTTTTCTTCTTTCCTTATCGAATCTAAACGAACGAGTCGAGTTTAGGAGAAGTTGACATCGAGTCTCAATTGTACGATTTATTAATAATCTTTTTTCGAACACGCGTCATTGGATCTTGTCACGCTTATAAGCGTCCTAATGGATTCTGTACTTTGAGAGAATACAGGTTATCGATTTCTTTGTTACTCGTTGTAGCACTTTCCAATATTGCTCCCTTGTAACGAGACGACTTTGAAACGCTCCGTGACACACGAATTAACAACGAACTGTATCGCTACTGGTAGATATAGTAAAGTATCGATCGCGATTTTCGTGCAAAAAAGAAGAAAAAAAAAAATATGTGTGTATTTTGTGTATCGAATATACTATTTTTTTAAAACAAATTCAAGCGCAACTTTTTTTCTCGATTTTTTTCTAATTTTGGAATAAGTTATACTTCACAATACATTTTTCGATAATAATTATTTACGTTTTCGCGCAAGATTGGACATTTTTTTATTTGAAATAGAAATAAATAACGAATAGAAAAAAAAATTTCGAATAAAATAAAAAAGTAATAAATAATTATTTGAAATAATAATAATATTTGGGAATAAATTCTAAAAATCTTATTTAAAGAATAAATTATTTTTAAACAATATATTTGTTAAATATTTATCATTTGATTATTTCGAATAACGAGAAAACGAAAGAAAGATAAGAAATAACATAGCATTTAACTTTATTCCCTTTTACGATATCTTGAATGATGCCACTCTAAAACGTTCAACGTACATACATGAATTATATTGCAAAAAAATTATAGGATCATGTGTATTCTATGATAGAAATAATTTTAAAAAGAAAAATCTTTCTCCGTGAATTGAGAAATTGATAAACGTTAAATAAGAACGCGTTAATCACACTCGCTATCTTTGGCCGTCAAGAGAGTTAAAGGTCCGTTTCGTCTTGGGCCGAAACGATCGCGTGCGCGATACGATAATCGTATTCGGGTGGAACGGAAAAAACAAAATTATATAATCATTTTCTAATAGTGAAAAAAATTTGCCTTTATATAATATTCTAAGATTTTCGTGTAAAAGATTTTCATGTAAATTTCTATAAAATTAATTTATAGAAATTATTTAAATTTTTTAAAAGTTCTAAATTTTAATTTTTTATTTTCTTTTAAAACATATTTTTTAACTTTATAATTTTTATTTTTATTTTATATTATTTTATATTATAAATTTGTTGATACGTTTCAAAATTAATATATATAAAAGTATGTTATATTATTACATAAATAATGTTGTGTTAAAAATATAGTAAAATAATTATATATATGCTTTATTTTTAATCGATGATATATTAATCATATTTGTTGTTTACGAGCAATATTTTTTTTATAAATATTGTTCTTTATTTAAAATAATATTTTTCATTTTCTTTTAAACAAATTTTTTTAATGTTACTTTATGCGATCGTATTTGCATTTTCAACGATTTGCAATGATTTCAGAAGTTTTGCGATAGGTAAAATAAGATAATAATCATCGATATCGTATACATCGATATATTTTTAACAATTAAAAATTATTTTTTTCTATGCTTCCTTTCTTTCCAATTTGAAAATGCTTTTTTATTAAAGTTTATTTATTATATAAATTATTAAAACTGAGATAATTCGATTTTATTTATAATGATCTTTTTTAATAAAACTAAAACTAGATCTTTAATACAACATTATTTATGAAATGATCTAAATATAAATTTGAAAATTAAAAATTCTTGTTTCTCTAATAATAATTCTCTTTAATCTATTCCAAATCTAGTTCAAAATTAAACTTCACGTAGGAAAACATTATTTTCTAAAAACTGTATGTTATTATAAAATAATTTTAAAAAATCAACGAAAATAATTTTTAAATGGTATTATGGAGCGATCTTAAAAAATTGATCGATAGTTCATATATATATATATACATAGAAGGCAACGTTTGTTCGCTATTAGAAGTCATGATAATAGAAAAAAAAATTTTGTTTCTATATTCGTTCCACTCTAAACCATAAATATATCTATTTTTCACGAATTATTTTCCATGATCGAGACCTGCTCGAAGGAAAAAGATTTTCAAACCTAATCGATCTATAGGGCCGCATCGTTCGCGCTCTTTCTATGTAAAAAAGAACGTTATTGGAACGTTGACGCATTTCATGATAATTTGTCTTTGTCCCCATATCCGTCGAATATTCGATCGTGACGAATATTCGATCGTATCGTAAACATCGCATAATTCGGGGAAACACGGAGATATTCTTATAATAAAGGATAATAAAATAACGCTCATGATGATCGAGCGATCCGTCCGTTCATTGTTATTTATTGATCAAATTTTATCGTTTTCGAATTCCGCTTTTCGAAGTCTATGAAATCCTTCGAAGACAAGACAAAGCGGCAAATCATATTTTTTTTTTCTTTTTTTTTTTTTTTTTTTTTTTTTGGAAGGGAGAGAAGAATTCTCTTTATTGACTAAGACGACTAGGATTTAGCGGTACTAGTTTGTGCCTTGTCGTTCTGCGCCTTATCGAATCCGTCGATCAATGTCTCGATGATAAATTTGATTGTCACTTTGTAGGTGCTCTCCACGTTTTCCGAATATCGATCTTCTAAAGTTCGTTTCACAGCCTCTAAAAACGGTTGTTCAATTTTCTGAAAAATAAAATTGATCGAAATATGTGTCCAACTATATACGTAATCTGCCACGACAGAATGAATTAAAAACTATACGAGGTGACATTTGATATTTTCGGAGAATCGATAGAGGAAATAGAAAAAAAAATTGTCATTGACTTAACAATTTTTTTTTCACAAACTTACCCAAAAATATTGTGGATTGAAGTCAGGTATCTTCGTATGCGTGGCTCCGACTTGATGAAGACATGTCAGAAAATCATCCATGTTGTCAAGGCCTCTGATACCTTCATCTAAAGCACCCATTACTTTTTCTGCATGTTTTCCTAATTCTACCATATCGAATCGTTCTTCTTTCGACTTTAAATCCAAAAATCGTGAGAACATCTGTACTAATTCTTCATTTTCTTCGAACAACCTATAAATAAATGTAATAATAATAATAATAACAATAATAAAAATAATAATAATGATATAGAGGGTTTATTCGTGGGATATGAAAGATCAATTTGAAAGATCACTTCTATGGGCCAAAATCCTGTAGAATCGATCTTCAAGAGTTGATTGCACGAATCAATGTCTGTATAAGAATATACTTATAAAAAATTTCAATTTATAATTTTTTTTTTTCAAAGAATATATATATATTATAATACGTATAAAATAATGATAAAAGAGTTTTTGCGTATAAATTGTGCTAATTTTACAATAAAATTTATTCTTAAATAAATAATAAGCAAAACTTAAATTTATTTGAAATATTGTAAATTCAAATTTGAAATCAGAAATATTTCGATATAATATATATTTTTATATATTTTTTCATCGCAATTTTTCGTTCTTTTTATCGTTATTCCTTCATCGTTTTATTATTTATTTTTCTTATAAGATAATTTCAACTTTCTATTATTTTTATGCAAATAAAAAAAAATAATTAACAAGATTGATAAAAAATTTTTTTAATCTATTTCTTGATAACATTGTCATTGTTATATGTTAATACTATTATTTTATAACCATAATTGAATCGTTTATTTTTTTTTTCATTATCGAATCAATTTTTATTTTATGTATATAAATAATAATATATTATTACATATTTTTTGACAAGACAAAACAAGAAAAGGTACTCAATTTCTTTTTGAATTTTTTTAGGTGTCATAAATCTCTAACTTGCCCTTTAGAGAATAAGAGCTTTTACGATACATCTTGTACTTCCTTGAAAACTTTTCGAAACTTGATCTAACAACTATTGTTACATAAAACCGACATTCCTTTTTTAATATATCTCTATTCCATATTTTTTATCTTCATTTTTCTTTTAACCAACATGTCTCTTAACCAACTTTTCTTTCTTCTTAATTCTTTTTTTCCAAACGAATTGAATTTCATCTTTATATACTTTGTATATATACATTGGTATACATTCAATGATTTTATTAATGACATTTGTTTCCTCTCTTTTCCTTTATTTTTTATCTTTTATTAAAACATAATTTATATGTGTATCCACGAAAAGATTATTTTATTTTTATATTTTTTCATTAATTTAATCTAGATAGAAAAGAATAGAAAATAACTTCGTTATTTTGTTTAGGAACGATATCTATATGTATAAAATAATAATAATTAAAATATTTATTTATATCAGATATTATATATAGATATATATAACGAGTTTATGATCTATTTAAAAATATAATTTATTATTTATTTATATATAAAACATGTATTTATTTTGTACAAATTATACATGAATATTTCATTTTGTTTAACTTAATTACCGTTAATTATATGTATTGAATAATTGAATAATTATCAAAATTAAAATTAATATTTGCAAGATTAAAAAGTTGCATTTTTTTGTTTTGAAATTACAAATTTTCGAAAACTATGGATTTTAGGAAAATACTAGATTTATAAATTCATATTCAATGTGTTAAAATCTATGAGAAAAATCCATCAAAGTTTATAAAATCAGATATATATATATATATATATTGAACAATATAATATAATAAATATGAAAAATAATATAACAAATACAGCTAACTATATATATATAAATATAGATTGCAAGTAACAAATAATTTAAAAAGAAAGCAAATTGTGAATTATTTAAAAAATTATTAAATTATCTTTATTATTGTTTTCAAGTTATCAAGTTCTTTGTCTTATTTGCATTTTTATTTTCATTTCGTTTATACATTTAATTAGTCAGTCTATTCTAACAAATTGTCTTATTATCATGCTCTACTTCGTTTTCTCTTAGTTCTTAAGAGTCACAGCGAAGAGCATAGAAAGATGACATGGCGGAACAACCTTAGAATGTTGAGTGACTAAAATCTTTAGTCTCAACCTTAAAAATTCATTAAATTCATTAAATCTATCAAAACATTGAGCAAGAAGTCTAAAGATTTAATTCCGACAAACATTAATTTTAATTAACGCAAATTTTAATATCGTGTCAAATGAAATTTTTTTAACTATTATATAATATCTAATATAAATTGATTCTAGCTAAGTATATTCAATCCTAAAACTATCCGATTATTAATATAATACATTATATCATATATATTATATTCTTCTGATTCAAAGAATTACTATTTATCATTTGTTATAAAACTTTTTAAATGGCAAAATAGTTTTTGCTTGATAATTGTGAACATTTTTTCGTTGTATCGAAATAAATTCAATAATATTAATATGAAAATGTGTTGAATATAACAAATATTTTTTTATCGATAAAAAATTAGGTCATTTTAATTATATCACCAACAATGAATAAATAAATATACTATTCAACATTTTCTTCGAGATACTCGTGATTGTTGCTCGTGATTTGTTCATATTTGGTTCGACGGTGAGCTAATGCTGTCGATTAGACTACGCGGTTCGTGATTGGTCAATATTTTTTTGTTAATAACTTAACAAAACCGTAACAAAAGTTTTTCTAAAAGGAAAATATTGTTTGAAATTATCTCATAGGAATCTCCATTTTACGGATATTTCAATTTTTGGAACACTCTGTATATGTTCTCTATGTCCTGAATAGATAGAATCAATAATAAAGAACTTAGATAAGACTCTTGAGATATGAATAGCTCATAAGAGTAATTATTGACTTTGATGTTCTATAATCAAATCGCCAAATTACTGTGCACATATATTATTTTAGGAGAATTCCTTGAGATTTAGATTTGAGATAAGATTTCCTAGCTTAAATGAGAATTTAACAAATATATAATAAATAATATTATATAAATAATATTACTTTTCAAATAGTATCATTTTTTCTGATATTATTTTGTTTTATTCGATATATTGAAATGTTTCGTTTTAAAAATATATTGAAACATCTAAAGTTCTTTAACATTTTAACATTTTTTAACATTTTAAATAAAATTATTACAAAATATTAAGCATTTTTTGAAAATTTAAAATATGATTTATTTTATTTTTAATAAAAAAAAAATACAAAGAGAATGATAAAGATTTTAAATATCTATCTCGAATATTTTAAAACATTGAAGAAGATTAGAACGTTTGAGAAGAGAATTGATTTCAGGATTTTTTTCTTTTTCTCTCTCTCTCCCTTCCTTTTTCTTTGTCCTATCCAAATTTTCAACTTGTTTGGTCAGTGAAATGCATATAACGCTACACTTGAAAATAGAAATGCTATTTTCAAATAGTATTTGTTCGTGAAAATACTTTTCAGTTTTGATTTCACCTTTTCAATATTTTATTTCAAAGTTATTCTCTTCGTCCCTATTACTTATTGGCTGCACTTCTTAATTTACTAAAAAAATTGTTTTAATATTGATAAAATATGTTTTATACTATTTCTATTTTTTTATCTGTGCTATTGTGTTAACCAAAATTTGATTAAAAAAGGATGACATGTAAAAAAAATTCTTATTAACGATAAACTAACAGGTTGTGAATTCCAATATTCCAAGCATAATACGCATGTATAGCACGTTTATTGATTTCGGAGGCACTGGTTGGACTAAACATCTCTGATCGACTTTCATCTCGAACCATGATGTCGGGAGTATAGGCAGATCAAGCTTGATTAAGTTGCTTTAAAGCAACTCTCTCGGTTCTCCGTACAATTTGCATACATTTGAATATGTTTATTATTTGTTGTTCGATATTTGTTGTTTTCATGAAAAGTATGTCAAATATAAATGACGAATTTGTTAATTTTTTTTTCTAAGTACTACAATATATGTATGTATATTTGGATTGGCCAATAAGACATTATTATTTTTTTTTTTTAAAGAAAATTTTCAATTTTTCTATTTGTTTTGCAAATTTTGCAAATTTTGTTTTTTCTAAATTTGTTTTGCAAATAATTTCCAGCTCGATTTAATTTAAACTTTTCTTTTTATAAAGTTATGTCTTTTTTTTTTACGAAATATCTATATCTTTAAGAGAATGAAATTAATCTCCAAAGTTTTATTATGTTATGTTATGAATGTAATTTTACTTGGAAATTTTTAAAAAAATTTCATTAAAATCAGGATTATCGAATTAACTAAATTTTCTTGTTTTCTTGTAAGTGTATATCCGGGTATTATTCCGAGATAAGCAATAATCGTCTAGTTCAAGATTTCCGCTTCTTTGTTTGAAATCGAAATTTCTTATTCGTGAAAACAAGAAACGGAAAAGAATTGTTTCATAACCGAATGAGATGATATATCATTATATTCTTTTCAAAAAAGTAATTAATATTGTTCGGTCGACCACTTTATGATTTGTCACTATTTCGAGCCCGTTCTCGCTCGTTCTTTTTTTACCTCCTTCGAGAACAAAGGCAAGCCGAATGGTATATCTTATATCTGCAATAATTATTTAACTAGTCTTGGACGAATTGATTATTTTGGAATACAATATCGTATAATATTTTTAAATAGATAAAACCGAATGAAAATATAAAATTTTGATGAATTTCCAATGATACATGAACACAGATTTGGAATAATTACACGATGTATTTCAGAAACGATTAGAAATAAGAAACGAAAAAAAATAAGATAAATATGTTTTTGAGTGAAGTTAAAAAAAAAAGGAAAAAGATAAAGAAATGAAGAAGAAGAAGAAAAAAAAGAAGAAAATAATAATAAATAAAAAGAAATAATCTATAAACATGTATAAAAGATTAGAAAAAAGAAGAAAATTGATTATAAGACTAAAAGAAGCTTATTAAGAAAGAGAACAATAGAAAAGAGGATGAAAGGTGGAATAAGGATGGAATGAAATTAAAAAAAGAACATTCGTGTTTAAAAAATGGATAAAAAATAGCATGGAGGATAGTGGAAAATAAAAAAACGGAATAGACTCATTTTTACGTCGATTCGTCTAGAAACAGCCATGAGCGCACTATTTCTGCGCCTGGTCACGTGAATAGGTCTGAAAATGCCAATACGAGGAAGTCCATTGTCCGTTAACAGTCGGATAGAAGCGGAAAAACAACAGTCGCTTGCGTTTCATGTCGGAACTTTCAATCCTCGAACATTCGTTAACATTGAAAAACGAACAAAAAAAGAAAAAACAGAAAAAGATAAATACATCTACATCGTTTATTCGTTATTAATCGTTCGCTATTTTATGAAAATATTTTCATCGAAAATTATCATGAAGCCTATAATCGGAATGATATAATGGCATGAGAGAAAGAATTTTGTTATGTTTGAAGAATTTAATCACAACTTTTCGATAATGAGTTCTGAGCGAATTTTCTGTGTTCCATAAAGATTTTTCTAAATATTCTGTAATTGTATTTTTCAATATTTTTTAAACGAGACTTTTTTTTATATATGTATACATATATGTATATGTTACATATATAATCAAAATTAAATAAGTTATGAATCCCCATTCTTGTAATTATTCATATAAAATAAATTAAGATCTATCTTAAATAGATGTATACATTATTTTGACATGAGATAACGATTGATTATGATCGATTATATTTACCATATATGTATATACACAATGAATTTCAAAAGAGATATTTATTAATTTTTAATAAAAATTTTTTTCTTATTTTCTTTAATTCTCTCTTTCTAAATATTTTTTATATCCACTTGATTATTGGTTAAAGAAGGATCAAATTTGCACAATTTCCTCTTCGATCTACGATAAATTATTTCAGGGTAGCCCTTTGTAGGCATAACATCCCGTACGCTCTAATTACGCTGAGAGTGCATCAATATCAGGAATCTCATAATTCAATAATAAAAGGATAGATAAAGATAGAAAATAAAGAGAGAGGTCAATGCATGTAAAATCCCTCAAAAGGGATTTACCGTGAAAACGAATAGCGAATAATGGAATCATTTATTGAACATTGGTAAGGAAAATGTAATTAAGTGTTAAACAGATTTAAAAATATCAGTTGATATTTACAAGTTTGAACATAAGTTTAACCCTCCGTAATTGAATTTTTTCTTCCCTTTATAAAAAAATTGATTATGATTTAAAACAATTTTTCATTCGGATACAATTTCATTTCTAGATTATTGTGGCTGCGCATCTGTAGAATCAGTGTTTATTTCTCAATAATATTTTTTTTGTTTTTTTTTTTTTTTTAGCACCACAAATCTAAATAAAATTAATTAGGAAATACGTGAAATTAGACTCAGTGTCTGTTTTATGCGGTCACACAATATAATGGTTTTCTATTTTTTTTTTTTTTTCATATAAATATTCGTTGTAATAGAATAAAGACAGTGCTTTTTTTAATTAGAATAAGGTGATTATGCGAACAAATAATTATCTTTTTTTTTTTATTAATTTTCTATTATTTAAATTTTTCTATCGAAAAATAGGACAATTATTAGAATTTCAATTTTTATATTTCAAGTTTTTATTTAAAGATTTTAATTTTTATTGTTATCATATCTAATTAGAATTTTTATCATATTCCTAATATGATATGATTTAAAATATCCATCTTTTGTTACAGATATTTGCCAGTCTTTGCGATTATTTCCCACGAGTAACAACAATGTAGATTCTTCGCATCTAATGATGAATCACATGTATTTTGATTCTTCCAGTCACTCAATTCGGATGTCAGACATCCGACATTTTGCAGCGCTTTTTTTAGCGCTTTTCTAGGCTTTTTTTTTGTGTCTCAATTATGAATGAGAATCATGAGTATGTTGGTGTGCTTGTTTTGCAATTTTTTTAAAATACAAAACTAATTAAAAAAACTAGAATAAGTAATATACTTCTGATATGTCTGTTAATTATAAATAGATAGAGCCGGATAGATATAATTAGATAAATTGTGATTGTATCTTGATCGAATAGATATGCGTTTTCAAATGATAACCTGTTTCAAAAAATAAAATTTAAAAAATGGAGGATAAAATTGAAAAAAGTGATTATCATTTATGGGTATTCCATTTTGTTTTGTCCATTGATTTTTCGAGTTCCGTGATCGAAATCGCGAAATGTTTCAAAACGAATGTTGCACTCAAGATTCTGCGTACATATACGGATAAAGATCCTTACGATCATCGATCGTTCATGTGTATTTAACTTCCTTTTTATTCTTTTCTTTCTTTATCATTAATTTAGTTATTGCAATTGAGTCTTTTTTTCACAAATATAAATTGAAGAAAATAAAAAGTAGAAAATTGATATAAATTGATATAATGCTTGATTTTTATTTGTTATAAACTAATTATCTTTTTTATCTAATTATTCTTTCTATTTAGAACGATTATGATTTAGAACGAATTTTGATTGAAAAAAAGAAGAATTGTGTATGTACTTTGAATTTTTATAATAATAAACTTGTCAAACTTGATAAATAAATAAAGTATAAAATTAAAACATGTAAATATTATATTAAATTATAAATATTAAATTATATAATAAGTTATACAATTTCTAAATTGTAAATTTTCGCCAATTATTTCTCATCTGAATTCTCGGATAACGTTCAAGTCTATTTGGAAAATTATTCTTAAAAAAAAAAAAAAGAAAAATAATTATTCTTGAATTACACACGAAACTTCAAATACGTCAATTATGATGGGTTATTACGCCAGTATAAAAACCTATTGTTCTTTCGAACATTGGAAGATCGATAGATAAAGAGGAATTGCGTGCGTTTGACAGAGAAAAAATTGAAGAATCTGAAATCTAATATTTGTTGACGAATAGAAAGGGTTGAAGGAGGGGAATAGAGAAAGAAAGAGATTGTTCGATTTTAATTAACATCAAAGATCTCGTAAAATTTATCCGTCATAAAATTATTTCGATAAAATTGTAACGTGATATCATGCTCCATTAACGTTTTAAATGAAAGCAAAGATAACGTTGATTTATATTTGCCGTTCAGTTGTTTCTTAATATTTAATTTTTCCATTAAATATTTCAATCTTTGGATATCATATCGTATAATTTTCATCATATATATTCATATATAGTTTCTCGTATTTTAATTTTAATAATTAACAACAGATTAGAAAAAAGACAACATTTAGAAAACAAACAACATTTTAGAAAAAAGAAATGGTATTGAATAGAGAAAACATGAAAAGAGTGATAGATGATTCACAAGCGCGGCAAATATTTTATAAAATGAGAGACGATCGTTCGAATCACGTAAAAACCGACGAATAATAATAAGGATTGCTGATGAAAGTTTCTGATCGAAATCTGGTTTTCTATTAAAAAAATCGTCAAGTCCTTATATCAGATTTGATGATGCAAAATTAAGAAAAATTTGTAACAAATTACTAACGAAGACTATTATTTTCAATAAACATTTATCGCGTTTCAATAGAAAATTGAAAATAAATATTTTATTTCATATTACAAATGCAATATATGTATACAAACAAATGTAATAATATTTCGAATTGATAATTGTTTTATAAAAATATCTTGCGAGTTTTCTAGTATTTTTGTTTTAATTTATTTTAAATTTTCTTCAACTTTGATATTATTTTATACTGATATTCTATAAAAAATACAAATAAAATATTTCCGATCAATTCGATAGTATTCAAGTTACTCACTTTAAGTACTTGATTTATTTTAGTTAGAAAAGAAAATAAGAAATGGTTGAATCATGTCATATATATATATATATATATATATATATATATATATATAATATAATAAATCATCCCTTAGAATGGAAGATGAAAGAAAAAATATGTATAGTAAACGATCGTATAGTGTAAGAGAAAGATGCGATATAGGAATCATTGAGCGCATTCTGCCTTTGGAAAATTGCGTTTGATGTTGATGGTGTCCTTGAAGAGCCTAAATGCTTATCAATCGCGTAATAGCGTATGGCGTTGTGTATGGGCTAACGTAATAATACATATGTCGTATCTCATCAAATATTTGATAAAGTTCAAATTAAAATTTGTCTTATATTAATAATTTCTTGTTGAAAATATGTTAATTATTTAACATTTTTTTGCGTGTCACGATAATAATATAACGATATTGCAAATACGATTGATTTTGGAAATTCGCTTCTTGACATTCGATGCAATTTGATAATGTCGATTTTCCAAGAAACCGATTATAAAATTTTATAAAAATAAAAATAAAAATATTATAAAATATTTTAAAAATTATTTTAAAATATCATAAAAATATTATAAAATATCATATGATATATATCATATGATATTTATTTTAAAATATCATAAAAATATTATAAAATGCTTGTCAAGATCATCGTTTTATCGATGAATAAAATTACAGAGGAAAATTTTGCATATAATCGATTCGAACTATGTTTATATATCGAATAATTAACTATTTTTCCATTTATTTTGTTGGATAATAAAGAGTAAAATAATCGCCTGTTGAACGAAAAGCGTTAAAACGTTACAAACCTCATAAGCATAAAGACACCAGTTGTCTCCAATTTTCTGGATACAGCTTTCCAGCTGGCCATAACCGTAAATTTTTGTTTTGCCGTAAGCGGAAGTCGTGGATCTGTGGTGGGTTGATTCGGTGTAGCCAATTTGCCAAGTTCGCAACCCATATCGAGTCGGCTTATGTTTTCCTCTCTTCTCGACGAATAAAAATAAAAAGAAAATCACCAACACAATTGCTATTTATCTTTTATCCATAAAAGTTTAATACCACGAAAAATATTCACCTCTATAGAAATATTAAGCTTGGAGTTAAAACATTTGACGACTTCGCGTCAACGATAAATCTTTCTACACCATGATAGAAATCAATCCGGCCGAGAAAACGAACGAACGAACAAACTTTGATCAACCAAGCAATCGTTTCCTTTTCCTTTCACAGTTTGATCGAATCACTCGTGCCTGAAGCGTTTCACCAGATTATTCGATTAATTTTATTGATCCACCAATTCAAGATCGTAGAATGAAAATGAATTTTCGTATCTTCCGGAATTAATCACTTTCGAATCATGTTCATAATTATCATTTTACGAATAATATTTAATAATTCATTTAAGATACGGATTTAACATGGGTTTCCAATGGGTTAACGATCCATTCCATTCGAGACTAACTTGATCGAAAATGCGTCAAACGTTGGTATGAAAAGTTGAAAAGTTCACTTGTCCTCGTGTTGATTCAAAATTCGATTTATAAATGAATCCGAGTGTTCAAATTTAGCGAAAACCACTTTTTTCTTATTTTATTATTAATTTATCTTCTTTGAATCTTGCTACGGGTTTATATATAACGATGAATTTGGATCGATTTCCTCGATTCATTCGAAGATTCTTTTCAAGAACGTCTTTTCACCTTCAACGAGTAAATGTGTCGAAAATTTCTACTGGACGAAACATAAGAGAATTCTGATTGGAACGACTTTTGCGATAACAGTTCGTTGACAAAGAAAAAGAAGAGAGAGACGATGGACATTGTTATACGATTGGAATTATCCGTGGTCTGTTGGATGAACAAAAAGGGAAAATAAAAACAAAACGGTCGAATGGATGTATTTTATTAACGAATGTAAATTAATCGAATGTACTCTTAAAAAAAAAAAAAAGATAGATTTAAATTGATTTTATTACTCGAATCCTTGGCGTTTGCCAATGTTTGATGTACTTTTCGGTACAAAAATTATTATATAGTGCATAAACAAGAATACTGAATGTTGAAATAAATTACGATTCGAATAATCCAAATAATTAAATTTGAAAAAATTCTTATTCGTATTGCTCAGTTTCTTAAACGAGTTTTACCAATTCTATCAAATATTAAATATTAACGATAAATTTGAATTTTTTTAAATTTTATTTTTGTTATTTTTATCATTTTTTATTACAAAAATATGTTATATATCAGTCTTTTTATTTTGATTTTTTGAATTTAAACAAATTTTGAATTGAACGTTTAAACGAATATACGAAAAACGAAAAAAACATTAGATTTCGAGAGGAAAAATGTGAAAAATATATAATGGAAAATAAGGAAAAATATGAAAAGATTCTTATTAAAATTTAAAAAATTTAAAGTTGGCGACGACTCGTTTCGTAATTTAAAGACAAAATTCTTAAAGAATTGTTACCGTAGTTGAACCGAAGATAAATAATTGTAAGGAAAAACCGAAAAGAACGAAATAAATAGATGAAACTTTCTTCCTCGATGGAAAAATGTTAAACTCGACACAGAATGGAGGCAGTAACGAAGGTGAAAATTAAAAAGAAAAAAAAAGTTTGGAAGAAATAATTAGAAAACGTCGGAATTTAAGATTAAAGAGATATACATATACAAATATATATTTACGTAAGAATGGAAAAAGGTCAGAGAATATATATATATATATATAAAAGAAAAGAAATCGAATATAATTCAAAGAAAATTTGAGTAATTCTATTGGATAGTCTTTAAAAATCGATAATATTTGAAAACTAATGATCCGATTCATCGAGTACGATTCTCATCTGTTATTTTTGAAATAGATTCTATTTAAAATAGAAATGGAGGCGAATAATATAAATGAAAAAAAAGAAAATGTATATTGCCATCTATAAACAGAGATCGAATGAATGTTGACTTTTATAAAAACAAATTTTGTGCCCAACTTTTAAATTGTTTCGTTTTTTTTATATCTTAATTTGCTATAATAATTTTATTAATATAATATAATTCAACTTTGTAGTATATAGTGATTTTAAAATTTATTCAAATCATCGTTACAACGTTAAAATTATAATTTTAAAAAATTGTTAAAGAATACAATTTAATCTCAAAATATTCTATTTTAATTTCTAAAAATCCTATTTATTTTATATTTTTGTTTTGAAATTATTCATTAAACGTGCATTGAGTGACATATATTTTGCAAAATTTAAAATAGAATTCATATAGATATATGATCTAATATAAAGATCTGAATTTTGAAGAAAAAAATGTCAATGTTTTATTATTTCATATTATAAAAATAATATAATAACAAAATAATATCCAAATTTATCTGAATTTGCTAAATGTTTGTTGTACACATGAGTATTGCGATATAAAAAGTAATACGCGATAAAACTTTGAAACGATAAAAGTAAATGCAAAATACATTTTTGTTCTATATTGATGAGACTTTTGATCAAAAAACGGAATACAAAATACAAAATAGAGCGACAAATTTAACTACTTGCGATATATAATATCATTTTTTTTATTTTTCGTAACGAAAAATATTTTTCAAAGAAGAACACGCGTAAGCATTAGATTGCAAAATTTGATAGAGTAATTAAATTTTCGTTTATTCGAAACCACGTTTAGAAGGTAAACCACATTTAAAACTTACTCTCGTTTGACATCGTGTCAAATATCTTAACACGAACATCAATTCCCGTCGCATATAATTCTTTCCCGTTAATCACTAATCGAAAATCAAAAGACAAAAAGGATGAAAGCAGGAAAGAGACGAAAACAAAGAAGAAGAAAAATAATCCATTTTCTTTTCACAAAAAAGAAAAATCTTGTCCAATCGTTCAATCTTCTCTCCCGAATACGACACGAACAAAGTAAACAGGGTAAACAAGAATGATGGAATAAATCACCTGATGTGCGATACGCGGTTTCCCTGATCCCCTGATACGATGTTTCGCGTACTACGAATTGTCAACCACGAATCGTCAACCACGAATCGATTCGAACGCGATTTATAACCCGTCAAAGTCCTCTTCCTGTTTGTTGGTCGGTGGTACTGCACCCTGTTTCCTCTTCCTCATCTCGGTCCACCGAAGAAAGAGGCGAGTATCGTAACGCGCCAGACGAAATTTCTCTCGTCCCTCGTGAGTACGCGTACGCGGACTCCTCTCGATACGAAAGCGGCGAGATCTCATTCGAATCACAGTCTCTCGAACCTGAGAAGACCTGCGAATATTACGATGTCGAAACACTATTGGTGAGCGGCACACGCGACACGGTTCCTGTTTTCTATCTTTAGAACGTCTCCCGGGGCTCCGGATCGAGGGGATTTTCGAAGGGGATGATGATTTTCGTCACGAATTCCGTGTTGCCTTCAGCCCAGACGAGCCGAGACTGAGCCAGCGGTAACAAGTGCTCAGCTCGAGCGCGCACATGCGCGCAACCAATCCTCCCCTTGTCCCTTCACCAACCCTCGCGTTAACCATCTTCCTCGATACAATACCTGCGACCAATTAATCGACCACTTTGCATTTTTCTCCACCGCCGGAGAATTGGATTGGACAACGGAGGGGATAAATAAGGTTGCGAGGATGGAAGATGATTTTATCTTTCGTCTTTATCTTTCGTGTTTATCTTGAAAAAAAGAATCTTGAAGAAAAGAAAGATTTGCTTCATAATGGATGATTTGCGGGAAAATGAAAAAGCGATCGCGAGTGAAATCGCAATAGTTTGTATCTCTGTACATCTTTTTATTTGTAGCTACGATAAAAAGTAAAAATTGCTGGAAAATAATAATTAAATACATTTTAGAAAAGTTGAACGTGATTAACATGATAATAATACCATGGCAAATCCGACAGGTGTGTTTACATTGGTTAAGAACGTAGAACGGAGAGGTTCTATGAAAAGGCCGGAAGATCCTCGGCTCGCGATCAACCTACCAATCAGCTGGCTTTGTGTTGATTCAAGCGAAAGCCGCGCGGCAAGGTTTCCGTTCTTTCAGAGACCGCTTCTTGGTTTAGTTCGCCACGACGCGTATCCTCGACGCGACGTTCCTCTCGATCCGTTCGATAAATCGATTTCTCTGATCAATTGGCGAATATCCGATACTTTTGAATGGTAAAAATAAACTAGTGCGTCGAACAAATTACGGGAGCGTTCTACCTTGTACGTTTACGTGTCGTCAACGCCCGATCCTTGCTTCGCTTTTATCCAATTCCCTCTCGAATTCGCGTTGATCGTGATCAAACGATTAATTGAGTACGACAATATGAGCATCGAATACGGTTTAATTGTAAAAGATTATGTTTTCGAATGATATTCTCGATGGATATATATTATTTTTCATAGAAATGATATGTCGCGTCATTGAAGTTGGCAAAAAAAGCAAAATTCGATGTTATGTAACAATAGTGTAGTAGTATATAATAATATTTCGAAAATTATGAATTTACAATAATCCGTATCGCAACTATTGTAATCGAAGCTCGAGGCATGAGTTTTTAATCTTCCTAATAACGATAAAACGAAGCAAAATTTCTTTTAAATTTCGCGACAATTTCATAACAAAACGAACGATGTAAATTTGTGATGAATAATGAATTATGAAGAGTGAAATTACAAACGATGGAAATATAAGTGAGAAAAGTAGATATCGGTGACGCAAAGCTGGACGAAAACAACGACCTTCTTGTTGATCAGGTAAATATCGACTTTAGAAAAAAGACTTTAGAAATATTTTTTTCTTACTTATTATACTCTTAAAAAATATAATTTATAAAATACAAAATATAATTTATAAATATAATACAAGATTGTTTCTGTTCATTCGCAAATGTCCAATCCATTTAATTCGTTTAAATTGTTATCTTAATATCATTTAAATTGCTATCTTCGATCAGGAAAAAATTGTATATCTGTATAATAACAAATAATTTCTAGGAAAGATTTTTCCCTTATCGATTTTCCTTATTTTCAAAAATTTTAAAATTAAATAGATAATGAGTTATTATGGGTTACGGATTTTAAAACAAATATGTTGATTCGTGTTCAACACCATTTGAAAGCGCTTTACAAAGTTCGATGATTATTCCAACCATAAATTTGCATTTTCATAAGATAAACATGACTGCTATTGTATCAGATACACGCGCACGATCGATAATCTTTTAACAAATACAATGTAGGAAATAGAAAACTTGAACTTGTTTGAACCTTTAAAGAAGAAAAATTAAAAGTACGATTTAAAAAATAATATTTATTTTAAAGAGAAATTATTTAGCAATTTTTTTCTACGTACAATTATACATATGATATAATTTCGAGATTTTGAATTTTTAAATTTGATATTTACTTAGCTATTATACGCGGAGAATGTCTCTGTTGGATATTATACATTATTTTAATTTATATCAAAAAGTCATTATATAGGGAAGTCATTTTAAACGATATAGAAAAAAATATTTAAATAATACTCCAAGTTTATATATGAATATCCATCTATTATGATTCAAATATGTTATTTTATGGAAAATTATTTTTTCTTGTTTTAAACAATTTTTTTTTTGAAAAAATTAAAATTATTTAAATATCTTCGTTGTAAATAATTTAAAAAAAATACTAAATTTTAAAAAACTATATGAGATAGCCTCGATTGACTTCGCTTCAGTTTCTATTTACTTAAAATTTCAGAAATTTCGAGCTCCAAATTCTCTCAAGTATTTAATTAGTACTTAATTATATAAATATTCGTGAATGCTAAATTATAAAAAAATATGTGTATATATTCTGATGATCATTCTTGAGCCTTTCCATAAAATATATAACATTTGGTGAGATTTACTCAAATTTGTCAAAAGTTGGATTGAATTTCTGATCGGATATAACAACCGTAATAAGAACAAACCTCATGGTATAGATCTAAGGATTCGTATTGAAAAATTGTTTGTTTAATCATTAGTTGATTCATTACTTTTTAATTTAAATCGAAATGTAAAATTAATCGTTACGATTAATCAATTAATTATTTCATCCCTCCTTTGATATTTGTTTAAAATATTGCGAAAAAAGAGAGAAAAAAGAAAAGAAGAGTTTTCTTTTTTCTTGCCGCAAACAAAATATTATTAGCCGAAGAATCGTGTTTTCGAGAAAGAAACACGCGGATATACGGATTAAATACGAGTTTTCGATTGAATATAATGCGTGATTTTTATTGATTATAAATTATTTACGCAACTATATATGCATTTGATTTATATCTATACTATGTACTATTAGGATCTCGATAATAATCGATTGGAATTTTCATTTTTTTACTCGTTCTGATTTTCGAAATCTCAGCAAAATATCATCTTGCGGACTTTCAATTTTTTCATTCTCCTTATTTTATCTTTTTGTTCCAATTTTTTTGTTTTTTATTGTGATCGTGCTTCTTGCTCTATTAGCGGGATATTCTATCTTCGTAACGCGATACACTTTGTATCTGTTTTTCTTTTGCATTAATCACCACTAAAGATTTTTACCATGCCATTTCCTCCGTTTTTCGTTTTATTTCTCGATACAAAGTGCTTTTCGAATGGTTCTCAATCCCTTTGAATTTGCCGTATCCACGTAATTCGACGGTATGGTCGTGAAACTCCTCCTTCTTCCTGCTTTTTGCCCAATTTCCAACTCGAAATTCATCCATATTTTTTTACCATACTCTCTCCCTTTTTTTACTCATTTTTCTCGTTTTTTCTCATTTTTGTTTTATCCTTCTTGAATAATAATCATATATTTTTGTGGCTAATTGTAAAGATATATTGATTTGGACAAAAACTTCGTAATAAATCATTATTATAGAAATATATATAATCATTTATTATAGAAATATATATAAAAGATATCGATTCGTAATTAAATCTAATTTGTAAACTCGTTTCATTATTTTTCATTATTTATCGATGAATAAAATAAAATTTGATAAGATAGAAATGGGAGAATTGGAGAATAAAATACACGTGGAAATAAATATGTATATGTATATTGAATAAATATAATGTATATTGAATAAATATAAGAAAAGCAAAAATTATTTATTAAATCATTTTTGAAATACTTTTTAAACATATTCCTTTGCGACTCGAGTTATTTAACTACAATGAATAATCACGAATAATATGAATTAGAATTAGAAAATACCAGATTCAGCGATTGTCGTTTCGGTTAGTGGCGGCAACTCGTTCATCGAGTTTCGACCTCTCGAGGCCGCGTCTGTGCCTGGAATCATAATTTCGCTTGGAATGAAAATTCTCGACGAAGAATCCCCGAGGCATTCCATAGTCGTCGATCGAGGATGTACGATACGATCTACGATAAGAAAACGCATGGCTCGTCTTGTCTGACAATTTTTTCTTTGAATAAAAATGATAAAGAGAAATAGTAGTTTACCGTTTTTGCAAGATGGATAAATATAAAATTCACTATGGTATCAAATTGATATTGCTATTGTTTGCGTTGATTTATAAAGAGAAAGAGAAAGAATAAATTAGCATATGCGATTATTTAATGATTTTTCTCAAAATTTTGAATATTTGGTTCTTAAAAGTTCTTTTTTTTCTCAAAGTTTTATTTAAAAAAAAAAATCATCCAGAGAGAGAGAGAGAGAGAGAGAGAGAGAGAGAACAATTTTGAAAAGAATATATTTTTATATTTTTCACTGCGATATCGATCGATGTTGAATGTTTCGTTTCAAAGGACACATTTTTATAATATCTAATGGTTAATAATACATGATCGATGGTTCTAATATTAAAATTTACGAGATACACAACGTTTAATTTGTCCAATCTCTGTTCAAAGATAATTAGACGCGATTCGTGAGAAAGGATTCGATTCGATTGTTGGTTGAATTACACGGGATAGTTCGATGGTATCCATGAAATCGCATCGAAGACTGATGATTTTCGAATGACCGCGAATATCGGAAGGCTTTAAAATGCTAATTATCGATGTTTGGGATGTCGACTGCACGTCAATTACTAGAATTTTAAAATCCACCGCGTTGTTTAAGTTGACGGGCGCACGGTAGAGTTCGATCCAAATTATCGTGGCAGACGTTTGAATTTTTTGCGGTAAAGGACCTCGATCGGGCCAAACCTGAAGCTGATGGGAAATATCCTGTCAAGAGGAACACAGGTTCAACCAATTCCACCAATTATCGAACATGTAATCGCTTCAGAGTTCGCATGTTTGCGCGTTCGATCCTCTTCTATTTCTATAGAAAACTCTGCCTGATGAGGATCAATTTTTCTTTTTTTTTCTTTTTTTCTTTTTTGTTCATCGATATTGGATAAAATGCATATCTATT